CTCAAGACTCACGACATGTTTCAGGGATATTTTGGGATAAGGGTATACGTTCCCGCTAGCCATTTAATTACTGAAATTAATTACTTTGAAAGAAATTATTAACTATAAATTTTACATATATGTTACCATTGTTTTGGCTTCGCCCAGTAAAGCGAGGACACAAAATAAGCCACAACCCATTTATAACTATCGTAGCTCGAAAATTCTAGCCTGCATGCAGATATAGGGATGAGGTGGGCTGTCAAAATTCTGAAGTTTTTACTTGCCAGAAGTGAATGATTGTAAAAAGTGCTGAAATTAAAAATAGAAGGCTTGGGTCTATATAGGCAGACTTTTTCTCACCTTTTGTTGGAAATCTCATGAAAAATTCACGCTCTTGTATTCAATACAGCCGCCATTTGCGGTAAATGTAAAATTCGAGGATTTACCTTTAGTCTATTAAATCTTGCGAGGCAAAAAATCGTGGCTGGACAGCTGAACGTATACATCATCCAAAAACGTGTTTACCACTTATTAAACAACGTGGTAAAAAATAAAATTGTCCCAAGTTTCAGTACCATACTGTAGGTATCTCCACCTCAACTGCCTGACTAAATGGTGTGCTATGGTATATACGATGTACTGATGTAGTATGCATGGTATGGTATAGTGTGGTATGATATGTTATGGTATGCAATGGTATGTAGTGTGGTATGGTATGTGGTATGTTATAACATGGTATGGTATGGTGAATATGGTATGGCATGGTATAGTGTGTTCATGGTGTGGTATGGTTACTATGGTATAGTGTGGTATGATATGGTGCAAAAAAGTATAATGATAGTTTGGAATGGTATGGTTTCTGAAATTGTATATTTTTAGTGCTATCATGTTTATCGAATATGCATACAAGTATCAGTTTGGGACAAAACATAAAATAATATATAAAATTGTTACAATACTTGTGCATAAGGATGGCCATCATCAGCAAGATCACGGAATAATTTAGCAGCCTCTAAAGGATCAGGATCAACACCTGTACCTACCAATCAAAACACCACGTCAGAAATCAATTCGCAAATTTTATTCTTAAAAATTTGAAGGCAATTTCAACCTCGCAAAGTGGGAGCACTCGAAGCGAGAGTTCAACTAAGCGAGGTCAACGGAAGAGGTTATTACGCTGGCATCAGAGTGACAAAACGTAACAGAGCACTAACCCTATTCCAAACACCAACTCTACTCCAACTCTCAAACAACCTAACACTAGTCACATTCTGAAGTCAGTGAACTAACCCTTTCCTGAGTTCAACATGGCAGGTTCGTTTGTATTTTACTTGTCAAGGAAGGGAGAGTTTTGTGCATTATGAGTTAAACAATTACAAAATAGCCAAATGTGTGCTCAGATTCATTTTTTTTTTGAAAGTAACTCCCAATACACGCTTCATCAAACAGCACAGTAATAAACTAGGCATGCGTCAAGTTATCCGAAAACGTGAATTCAGTGATAAGGGGGATAAACATGCATTAGCGGTGATTACATATAGACTCATACCTAATCTCAACATCTGTGCATAAGTATATTTTGCATCTTGATTTCCAGCCAAGGATGCCAGTCGAAACAATGGAACCCAGAACTCGATGGTATCTTCACCAACTAAATATATTAATCCATTAAGTTGCATTGTGCCCAGCTAATTTGCCCTACTTTATTATTTCTACCGATTTTAATCATCAAGGGGAGAATACTGCCACTCAATCGTTTAATCAGACTACCTCACTGGAAAAAAATAGTGAAATTCATACTAAGTACAGTTTCACCTAAACTTTACAGTTACTCAGTAGAATTCTAAATCCCTTTACCTTGTTCCTGGAGTGTGTAAACCACTAACGCAAGTTCATATAATGTGTCTCCATTTACTAAAACAAAACAAAACAGCAAATTATGGAAACTATTTCTGGATTCAGGCCTCAAAATTCAGATTAGTTAAGTTCTTTATATGCATTTCATGTCAATGATAAAATACAGTGTTTGTTTTGATTTGTGAAAATGCCATCTGTAAGCTGAGATACATTACTACAGATTGAAATATTTGCAATAATAAATGTGGTGTTTTACACAAACCAAAACAGCTTAATATTTATTAAACTTGTTAAAAAACCATACTATTTTTAGCTGCCTCTGTGACGTCTGCTGATGTCACTGTTCCTGCTTTATGTTGACACAAGATTTGCAATACAGCAAGTTGTTCATCCAGCTTTTCTTTAGTCCCGGTTGGTGATTTTGACAAGAGTTGTTTCACTTTATCTTGAAACTCTTCATAACCTGCTAATTAAAACGTTCAGTTTGCAATTAGGGATGGATGAAACCTAATCTGTCCAGGGGGAAAGAATGTGGTGTTAGGCCACATAAAAAAAATTACTTGTTTAGCGTCCACCCATTTTAATTTTTCTAGGTCGGGCGGACGGATTTTTTTTTTTTTTTCGTAAAATGCAACACAAAATTCTGCTAAATGCAGGAAATCCAGTATATTACCACAGTCAAAACTCACTTTAATTCTTTCAAAATCCGTTCATGTTTTTTAACTTCCCGTTCATGTTTTTAATAAAACAGAAAATTACCGTTTGGCGGTCACGCGCGAACACTTTAGCTGCGAACAGGCATATTCTGGGAAGGAAACTTTGTGTAAACGTATTACATAGCTCCCAGAAGAATAAAATCACCATTTTTTCAAGTAAAACGGTCTTTTTTATAGAGTTTTTCCACTAAACTCGGACAGATTTAAAAAAAAAAATTTAAAAAAATTGGAGGTCAGGGACTTTTATCAGGTCGGGCGGGGACGCTAAACAAGTAATTTTTTTTATGTGGCCTTAGCCATGGAGCCAGGCGCGATCGAGTCACGGTAACAGAATAGAGACCATACAGAAAGCTGACTCAGCTAAAAAAGCAAAACCGCCACCATGCCATGATTCATCATCAAAATGACTCACCATTGTTGCTAGCCAGTGTGCTTATGAGAGACATTCACCCCCTGAATGTCTATCATTTTGAATATTTTCAGGGGGGTGAATGCCTCTCATAAGCACACTGGCTATTAAAGGAACGTAAAGACAGCATAATTTGTAATGGTTTAATACTCCAAAATCAAGCCAAACCAAGAAGTTAGCCTTCTGTAAGCTCTCTATTCTGTGACATATACGTTTTAGTGATTTTTGTATACTGCATAAACTAATTCAATAAATCTAAGTTGGCGCAAAAAGTCGTGAAATTCATTCTGCAGCCATGGGCGAAAATTAATAGATCCACCCGGCCACCCCTGCCAGATTTCGTCCCAACTCTCAGCGTTATATTTACCTGTGTTGGTACAGTACCTCTGCACTCCGTATTGCAAGTTCTGTCCAAAAGAAAGGCTTTGAATGCGACTTTTACTGCGAACACTCAGAGTCGAAGAACATCCGACTTGGAAGTTAAACGAACTAAAACGCCTTAAACATGGCCTTGAACTGTTTAAAAACTGTATATATGGATTATTTTGAATTAGGCTATATTTTGTGTAAGTTATATTTCCTGGTTCTGTGTTTGAAACGAAAAATAATCTTGAATTTCCATGCGCTTTTAAAAACTTGCGCCAAATCTTGGAAGCCATATTGAAAGAGCAGAAGGCGGGGCATGGAAACTAGCTAGCGGGAATTGCTGATCTCAAATGGTAGACTGGACAAACGTAAGAAATTTCGATAAAAATCCTGTTGTTTTTTAAATTAAGTGAAGAATCGTGTTTTTTACTAGTTTTTGGCCAAGGAAGCTATTTCAGGTCGTTTATGCAAATGACGCGTAAACTGATTAAAATGGATGACATGATGCGGTAGATGTGTTTCAGATATATTTACATACTAATTATTAGTGGTTATCAAAAATTCAATCTAACTAAGGGACCGGTCATTATTTATGGTGGGGGGTGGCACCGAAGAGAAATGTTTTCCGTGTCAAAAATTTTGCTAACCCAACCATTAAAAAGACAAAAACTTGATTACCCAACCTCAAATATCAATTAAAAAATAACTACCCACCCCTGGCCAAAAACTTAACAAAAGGATACCATTCAGTTGTCATACATGTCCTTTATCACTTCAGTGACATGAGTTTGATAAATGCTTGTGAAATTTTCTGCAGTCTAAAGTTTCATGTTGTCTGCACATGTACTTTCTTTGGAAACACAATTTGTTTTGTCAAACTATGATCAAGATAGTGACTCTGATTGATTCACATATTGTATTGACAAATGACTGTTGACATTGCTTTTCAGTCTCCAATATTTCAGTGGGTCATGCTTTGGAAATGACAATAAATTTTTATTACCCAACCCTTGAGTTGTTTTGTTTTTCATTTACCCAACCTTTTACTTACTCAAAATTTTGTTTACCCAACCCTTTTCTCTTCGGTGCCACCCCCCGCCTTAAATATTGACCGGTCCCTAATTTGTTTGTCCACGGTTAATAGATAGATAGAGCTTTAAGAAAGGTCACCAAGACCCATTTGAGAAATGTAGTAAAGCCATAGTTGGCTAAATAAAACTAGAGTTTTGAGGAGCAAAAATTAAGCCATGCAGCCGATTAGACCGAAGCCTGCGTGCAGCCTGACTGCACGCAGGCTAATTAGACCGTGGTTTGTCTAACCAGACGTCGACTGTTTAAAATAAAGTCTGTTTCACCCAAATGTGTAAAAATCTAGAACAGAAGAGCTATTGCATTTTTTGGGACATCCTGTATCAGGCCTAGAAACTATATTTCTCTTCCTGGCAGCAAAATCCAAGAATAGAAATTTCCTGTGTGAGTCAAATATGAAACTTCCCTGCATATGTAGATTTCAGAGAACGTATGGTGTGGCACACATTGTGATACACTTCAATCTCGCAAAAAGACAGTCTCGACCATTGGACAAAACGCTTTTGGAACTTTTTAAAAAATAAGTAAACTATATGGCATCCCATCATAAAAGATGAACACATAACACACATTTGCACATACTATACAGGATAACTTTAAAACATTATTTGTGCGTAAAAATTTAAATTACAATTTCCATTTCGCTATTCAATCAAATACTTTAAATTTCGGTTTATGTTAAAGAGTGCAGTCCATTTCTTGACTTGATTTTTACAATGAGATTTTCTCCAGTGTTGACCTGTAAAAATAGAAGTGATTTAGAAATAAATACATAAGAAATACATAATGAATGAATGCTGAACGTCAGTATCAGTCCTAACTAACAGGGATGGAAAAAATATTCCACTTTCTAGAACCACAAGAAACATGAACTTTTCTGCGATGTAACTGTGGTTAAACTATTTTACTGTAACAAAGTGTGAAATTATGACTGCTATATTCTAGTGAATTAAATACTTTGAAGAGTACAACTACTACTCAAATGCTGTCTACGAGTTCTGTGTGGGGAAGCTCGCACTCTTGTGTGCAGTAGGCATATATACAACAATATGCTAGAATGGTTATAGGGTAAATATGTTATCATCTTAGGTTCAGTGCGTTCACTGTCACTGATCAAAACTGACTCTGGGACTGAGGATATATTTCATTTGTATCTGCTCACTGACTCACTGTCACAACAATTTCTGACATTTTCTGCTGACTACAAAAAATTTTCGGAACCAATGGTCCGCTATTTTTTAACCCTTAAATAAACGGAAAACTCACCTCGCTTCTAAAATTCTATGTTCAAGTCGAGTCTGAAAAACACAGTTGTATTATATGTTATACAAGGGTATCAAAACAAATGCTCCCCATCATATTTTATGGTATAGCCTATTACTAGTTTACTGCGTTAACATAAATAATTATAGCATTCAGATTCTTACACCCCTTTGGTCAATAAATAAAAAAATTATCAAATTTTCTCTTTCATCTATCATTTAACTTTCCTAAAAGGTGAATGGATTTTCAGAGAAGGTGCAAAAAATCTCAGGCCCAGATGCATTGCCCCCGCAACCTAATTCATTTTCAGTCCTACCTTGAGGCTTTCGGTCTTTGCTTTCTTCAATTGATCTTCGAGATCGCGTATCTGAGCCTTGATGCCAGCGGTATTATGCCAGACCCGGATGTGCTTATCAGCACCCCCAGCAGAGGCGAAGAAATGAGATGATGGATGCCAGGTCAGCGAACTAATGTCGTCTGAAATATATGTAGAGAAAACATGAGATGATTTTTTCATGATTTTTTTTTATGATTTTGTCATGATTTTTTTTATTATTTTTTTTTTAATTTTTTTTTAATGATTTTTTCATTATTTTTTTTTGGTGGGACTTAATTAGGGACTCACGTCCTGTTGTCCTTACCATCAGGCATCAGTCATTTGATTGTAAAGTTAACAAAAAAAAAGAGATTGGGATATAAACTCAGGCCTGGTTAGCCACAGATTCGAGTCATGTGTTTTGGACTCGAGTCGCAATTTTTGTGACTTGCTAATCAGATTAACGACTTGACTTGGTCTCGAAGTGACTTGTAACTTGGCTCATTTGAAAGAACTTTTGAATCCTATACAAAATCTTCTTCCAGATTTTTTATATCAAGCCTTTTTTATATCAATGGTATACACACGCAATAATCTCACATCTTGTAGCAAGTCTGCCAACAAGCCGTCAACAAGTTCTGTTCGCACTGCTTGTCCCAAGTTGTCAACACGTTTGGAACAACTCGTTAACAACTTGTAACAACCTTGTTGATATTGTCGTACTTGTTGCAACGTTGTTCCAATAAGTCCGATACAGTCATGATATAAAAATATTGTTACAAACTTCAACCTTATAACATTCTTGTTATATCATGACTGTATCAAACTTGTTAGAACAACCTTGTAACAAGTCTGATAATGCCATTAACCTTGTTACAAGTTGTTAACAGCTTGTTCCAAACTTGTTACAACAACTGGGAACAAACAGTGCGAACAGTGTTCGACAGCTTGTGAACAGATTTGTGACAACTTGTTTGCAGACCTGTAACAACTTGTGCGTTTTCACGTGTATACATGAAATCAATCCCGCGCGTGCAAATCTCGAGGGGTCAATTTACCGCCCCAGTGATTTCGATAACAACTCACCTGAGTGAACATTTTCGAGCAATTCTTCCAGTTCTCCTGTGGTTGTATTGAACACTCCAATAGAGCGTCCCATAGTGATTGCCACGACATATCCATCAGGTGAGATTCCTATGAACATGTTGTTATGATGACCTGAATAGACACCAGTCATCAATAACGATGGATCCTGACCCTTCTTGTATTCCACTGAAAAATTGAAAAACAATCCGAAGTAATAAATTATTCCAGCTATAGGCTTAATTTTGATCTAGGCAAGATAAACGAAATTCATCACCAGAGCTAGAAAGAGCATGTTGAAATTAGTAAAATTGCAAAGTTTGGTTGCGAAATGTATTATTTTTGTATTACGCACGGGAAAATGAACCACTTTCGGCCCAAATGTGGTACACTTTCCCGCGCGTAATACAAATTAATACAAAATTGCAAATCTCGTAGGGCTATATGTTCCTCATTTTACAACATTTCTCAACCAAACTTTGTAGTTTTACTAATTTTAAGATACTCTATCTAGCTGTGGTGGATTCGTTCTTCTTGCCTAGATCAAAAATTTAGTGTATAGCTGGAATCACCCATTGACTTGATTTATATTAAGGAGTCGACCATTGGATGTGGGAAGGGGCGGGGGGGGGGGGCGAGGGTGACAGACTCCCCCCAAAATAAATTCATGCAAAGAATGGATTTCTGTAACTACATGGACTATACCAAAAAAATATATAGAAAAAAATTCTGCACAGCTTCTACATTGTAAAAGAAAGCTTTGAACTTTAAAAAATTTACACATCCCGACTCCACGGATATCTAACAACCTTGTATTCAGGCTCTTTATTTTCAAATTATTCAGCGCTTACCGTCAATATTCCAAATTTTCCAAGTGCCGTCTTTTGATACGGTCGCCATTCTGAAAGAAATATAGATTGAGTCAATAAGAACGCACAGTTCCTGTAGTAAAATAATCTATTCATGAGAATATTTTTCACGAAACTAAAAACATTGTTATAACTTGTTGATAAGATTGCTATAAGCCTTTTGCAAACACACCGTGTTGAAAAGATGAGAGTTTTGCGTGTGCAGGTGTAAAAATGGAAAATATCTTAAAAAAACACACCTGGTGCAATCAGACGAGAAACTAAAATGGTAAACTCCAGCACTGTGACCTTTCAAGTCCATGGCACGTGACACCTGCAATCCACCAAAAAATGTCAAATTTTCACTTTGATCTATCATTCAGACTTCCTCAAGGGGAGGTGCATGACGTTTCAGGAGAGGTGCAAAAATTCTTAGGGGAGGGGCAAAACGATCTCAGGGGAGGTGCGCACCTCCACACACCTTCCCTTCAAAATCAGACCATGAAGCAAAATGGTGTGCATTCGATAAATTTCAATACCTGAATACTGTGTTTGATAATATCAAGTTACCTGTTTAAATTCCCCACTTTTCGAAAACTCCACTTCATAGAGTTTCACATCGGATGTAAAACCTGCAATACAATTTGGTACATATAATTAGTAAAAATGTAAAACAAACAAACAAACAAACAAACAAACAAACAAACAAACAAACAAACAAACAAACAAACAAACAAACAAACAAACAAACAAACAAACAAACAAACAAACAAACAAACAAACAAACAAACAAACAAACAAGCAAACAAGCAAACAAGCAAACAAACAAACAAGCAAACAAACAGAGTTCTATATTTATCTGGAGCAAGACCGTCAGAGACCAGAGGTCCGAGACAAGATAGTGGACTAACCTGCTGAGGCTACAAAACGCCCACAAGGTGAAATGCATGCAAAGCTGTTGTTGACTTGGTTTGTATTCAGAGTCTCCAATACTTCTCCTGAATAATCATAAGATGAATAATATCAATCTGTACCGGGTGTCCCAAAAAAACAACTAAACACTCATTTAACGTAAAAGCTATGAAAGCTATCACAATGAAATAAAGACCATTGCATTCAAAAAGGACTAACTTTTGGGACACCCAGTAGACTGGTAGGTAAAACATCAATTTTATGGGCTGTTCATATGGAGCCGGGCTGGCCCGGTTAACCGGTATGATTAGTTTAATTAATAAAGCTCATATCACAGCTTTGATAAACCTCCAAAAATGACATTTCAAAGTTGAATTTTTTTATTCCAGTAACAGTCTTTTATGCCCAGCCTAAAAATTGTGACAGCATTCATCCAGGCTAGCCGAGCTGGCTCAGCTCATATGAATAGCCGGTAAAACTACCTTTCAAATTCCAAATGACAATAGTGGTATCATTTGAACAAGACATGATAAATTTCCCGCTGGCAGAGACTCCGACGTTGATGATGTCAGCTTTATGTTGTTGTGGAAAGTCAAGCTCTCCTGTCACTGTGTTCCCAGCACCGTCGTGTTTCTTCTGAACTTTGAATACTCGAATTGTATTGCCATTTGCCAGCGCAGAGATGAAAGCTCTGTGAAACAAAGTTTTAGACTGAACACTCAATTTTATGATGATTCAGGGATTAGAGCATTCATTTATTGAGATGTTAAAAAATTATTCTTTTTTATAGTTAAAATTCACTGTGGTTTGCTTTGTAATGTATTTATTTATTTTATTAATAACCGATTTATTCCATTTTTAATTAATTAATATTGTTTTAAGTATTTTTTATTATTACTATTTAATGATTTAATGCTCAAACCTGAATTTAACTGGTTTCTCTACATCACCACTGAAATTAAGAATTTACATTTTTTTACTAATAAAATAATTTGGTATAGATTGACTTACTAAAATTAATATATAGATTAGAAGTCCAATTCTTTAAATTATTATTTATTTAGCTTTGCCAACTAGGGCAGGGTCACCATAATAATGATAATAATGACCTTTATTTATACCCTTTACAACAGCAAAAATATAAACATTTTACACAATTAATGATTAAATAAAATGGGTACTAGCTACTTAAAATAACCATAAGGCTAGAGACCAAGCAGCTAATAAATATTGATATGAATATAAATAATCAGTAGGTCGTAACACATATATAGTAGAAAAACAAACACGCAGACGAATACATAAACACACACCTAGACAAGGCTATTAATATAAATCTTACATAGGTAGAATTTAATATACAATTATAGAAATTATATAAGATTAATATAGAAATATAATATTTGAAAACTTAAAGATATTATGAACAATAAAGACTCATTTCAAAAAGTCAATATTTGAGGAAAAATATTTCCAGAATTTTCTTTTTAAACTGATAAGCAGACAGCAATTTTATATTATTGTCAATTGAGTTCCATATCTTAGCTCCTTGAAATCTAATATTAAATAGTCCGTAATTTGTCCTTACTGTGTCAAGAAAGTAAGATATCTTAGAGGCTAGTCGTGTGTTATAGTTGTGAATCTGATTGACAGGAGTGAAGAAATCAGAAAAAAATGATGATAGCTTGTTATTATAAAATTTGTGCATAAATATTGCCGTATGAAAATTGACGAGATCCGGGAATTTAAGTATTTTAAGATGTTTAAAGAGAGGAGCACCACAACAGCATATGCCAATTACTGTGGGCCCTTTTACCTAACCCACCCTGTCAACTTTCCCTGTGGGTGGAAACCGGAGTACTGGTACCCAGAGAAAACGGCCACGACTTTCGGCAGAGCGTCAACTTTTACTCTTTCCACATGAGGATTGGGTTCTCAAGTTGCATTAAGAAAGTTCTCACTGAGATTTGAACCTAATTAAATTTAATTTATTAACTTTGCCAGATAGTCTTAACAGTTATTACAACCTGCGACCTTATAGAAAAAATAGTTTCTACCTTGCATCTTGAGTTAAATTAATTTTTGTAGCATGATCCCACTCAACATTTCCACGGATATACCTACAAAATAAAGAGATGTTTTTTATAATCTTCAGTGGCAAATGGCAATCGCCTGCATTAACGCTGCAAAAAATGAACTTATCGACAGTAATTTGTTTCCAATGGTTGTCAAATATTTATTATAATTGATATTTATTGTAATTATAAATGCATTATGCTTAATAAACTGTAAATCAAACCTACTTGTGATCTCTTTCATTGAAGTCTTTGACACTCCACAGCCTTATTGTCCTATCTATAAAAGAAAGCACACATAGACTATTTAGCTGCTGGTGGCAAATAGATCTCAAACCATCCCATGCCAGGTTGGAATCTGTGGAAATTTTATGCCAGAGGTTATGCCAATAAGCCACTGACTGCTTACAGACCTTACACCAGTATGCCGGTCATAACCGGATCCGGCCGGAACAGATGTATTAAGCCATATCACAAATGTTACTTTGTCTGCTGCCAGACAGGCAAAAAAGCAGTTCTAAAAGTGTGGGGGGGGGGGCACACTTGGCGCCCTCCAGGAAAACTTTGGGGGCATGCCCTCCAGAAAAATTTTAAAACTAGAGTCTCTGAAATGCCATTTCCTGCACTTTAGGAGATTTACAGAGTTCTAAAGGTAACAAAATGTCATAAAATATCTAAAATTGTTTTGTCTACATGCGTAACTGAAATAATTTAATATCAATTAACTTTGTGGTTTATTATTGACCATTGTTAAAAAATGGGGGGGGGGGGCCCAAAGACATTCAGCCCCCCCCCCCAACTAAAAAAGTGGGGGAGGGGCTGGCCCCTGATTCTGATGCCCCTGGAATATTTCCTCAATTCGCCCCCCTCTAATCAGCCCAGTCCAATAAATCCAGATACGATATTTGTAATAACTGTACTAATATTAAAATAATTTTGTACAATTGCCGGCTATAATTTGTGCAATTCGACTACCTGATGAAGTTGAACCTAAAAGTTTCCCGTTTGAAGTAAACTCGATATAAAGCACATCAGATGTATGTCCCTTTAGTATACATAATTGCTTTGGGTGCTCGCTAGCTACATTAACACGTTTTGAATTTTTTGTAGACGGTTTTTTCGACCCCTTTGCATCATCGCCATTTTCATTGCCGGTTTTTAGGTCTTCCACTTTCGTTTCGGGACGAGAATCATTGCTACTATCTTTTCTCTGCTTTTTTCCACCAACAAAAAGCACAATAGCTATCAGGACGCCCCCAAAAACGAGAGTTACGAGCAGTATTATTAGAAATTGTATAATTCCAAGGCTTTCTTCATCCGCCATATTGTAAACGTCAGCAAAATCACCGCTGACTTTATATGAGCGAAGAGCTCGCAAAACTGAACTATATATATATAATATATATAATATGGAGTGAGATGAAGAATGAAACACCACGGTCGGAGTCGGGGGAATTATAGCCATTAGGATAACAAAATAGTTTTGTCACTCACAACTTGTTGAGAAATTGTTGAACTGAAGGACGATAACAAGTTGTTGGAAAAACTTGAAAAAAGTCTGTTGAGCTCAACAACTTTGTAGCAAGTTGTCAACAAGCCGTTGACAACTTGTCAACAAGCTGGGAACAAGCAGTGCGAACACATCCTGCATATTGACAAGTTGTTGGAACAGCATTGCTACAAGTCTGCTGCAGGTTTGTTACAACTTGTGCGTTTTTACGTGTGTAGTACAAGTTTCAAACTGCTGTTGCAACATTCATAGTAAGAGCCATTAAACCGTTCTTCCTAGAGGTCTAATGCGGCTCTTGCCGTAACACTGGGCAACAAGGGATGTTCTCACTCACATTGAAAAACAGTTTAGCTACCCTAACCATTACTAGTAATGCCATTAGTATATTATGTATACAAGACAGTCAGTTTATTTATTAATGCATAATTATTTTCGACATTAAAGGAATTATTTTCCCCAACTTACCCCTGGCAGAGGATACTAAATATTTTCCATTGCTGCTAAACTCAATTCCGTCAATATTCGTTTTACTTCCATCCAATGTTGCTGCCAAAACTCCTTGAATTTCATCGTAATAATTGTCAGTATTCAGTGAGCTGTATCCATTTCGTCCGTTCGTCAGCATCTCTAGAGTCTTTGGTCCGCAAAGAACCTGTTTTTGTTCGGGAATTAAACGTTAATATTTAAGATTCTCGAAACTGTTTGTAGCTACTCTTCAATTCAAATTTAAGTAACGTTTCTTTTATTCAACTTTATTGTGTTCTGCAAAATTAAAGTTTAGATAACAAAATTATGCGGTGTTAAAAAAACACAGCAGACGCTTTTGACTGCTTAATACTATGCAAAACTAATGCATTCTGACTGCACCGACTTTTTGTAGTGTTGCTTGTTTAAAATTTTTGCAGTATTTACGCTTGCCCATTGGCTGAAAAGAGCGTATGTTTTGACCAAAAGCATTATAACAAATTCTCATGCAGTTCGCGGGTGGTTTAATTTTCAACCAGCATTGGGAGAGTTGGTTTGTATCTGACTTAGAATTATGCTTTCTCTGAAGTGCACATGTACAATACAAAATGGTATAAAAGAAATGTGTTTAGTTTTGTTTGAGTTTTTAGCCTGACTAGTTATGAAGCTAAGTTCTTGGGAAAACATGCATATATTACTGACAGGTGCCAAACAGGTGGATAGATCTGGACTAATGCAAGTTAAGACAACATATAATGTGAACAAAAGCTGAATACAAACTCGTAACTACTGAAGCCCCGGTCAAATGTTATTATTATTATATTACTAAACCAGCATGAGAGTTGGAAGTCACACATTGTTTCGGAGGATATTTCAAACTCTATATTGCTCTATGACTACAAAGATTTAATAAGTCATTTAAATGCATTGCAAAATACCGCAAAAATTTCACTGTAAAAAAGAATCATTTTTTCCCCGAGCCAACGGCGCGGAGCGCCGTGCGAGGGTACTAATTCCGCCCGGCTATTTACTCCCGGCGAAAGGAAAGCATTAGCGAAGTCTAAAGTAAAGTTCATCAATGATCGCGTGCGTGGGTGACCAACCGTGGGTCAGTGAGCTCCATATATATATATATCAAATCAAAGGCCGTTGAGGCCGACTCACTGATAAGATCAAATGAAAGTGACAGAAAGATCATTTCACCCATTTATTGTGCTTCATTTGCTAAATGAAAAAGAACGAACGCGTGCTCCAGCCCGATTTCCGGTTCTGAAAGGCCCGATTCGCAGGCAAACAGTGCGCGCAAAGCAGATTTGCTTCGCAACATCCGTGAGTCAAAAACGGCTATTTGCCTATTTTAATGTATTGATTGAGTTTAGAGACAGTTTAAGACTCGAATGATGAATTACCGTTCACTTTAGGAGAAAAATTGTCCACAAGTTGTTTGATTGCCCGTCATTTGGTTGATTGCCCGTCACGTGATTGCAAACAAAGAATACTTCATGTCAAGAATAGTTTGTTGCAATGTGCTGCCCAATTACCTTTCTGACGCCGCCATATAGTGAGATAAGTCCACATAACAGCGACTTTTTATAATTTCTTGAACGAATGATGGTAAATTTGCTTTGTCAATGGTTAGTTTATTTTGAAAAATTGCTTTTCACATTGTTTTGATTGTCTGCATTGGTTAAAGAGAATTGGATGCCACCCAAAAATGGCGGATATTCGTCATCGCGAGAGAGCCATTATCATAAATTTTTACACACGATTTACTTTTAATTATGAATATATTGATTCCATCACTGGTGCAGAAACTAAAATGTTTTCGCTTCAGCTATGACATGGTCTGCAATATTATTCCACTGTATCATTTATATAAGTATAAAAAAAAATAATGGTAAGTTTTTTTGCTATGGCTTGCTAATATCTGCATATATCTTGCTATCTGACTAAAAACTGGACTGCAACAAGCCAAGTATGTAATATATTCAAAAATTCAATTCAATTGCGACAAAACACTTTGCTAGTAAAATTGCTACTTCGCTCCCTGCGGCAGCAATAAATTGTGTCGTTCTCCGTCAATACACGTTGGGTGATTTTAAAATGGAACAGACGCACACATTACTAGCTCGTCTATTTTGCCTAATTCTTGTATCCGTATATTTGGTCAAGCAAGCACGATGTGGACATATACTTGGTTTTGCATCCTTGGGCCATGTCAGTCACCATCGAGTGTTATGGAAGCTTGGCAAAGAGCTTCAGACAAGAGGACACAAATACACTCACATTTTACCGAATTTTGCGAAGGAAACCTACGATGACGT